GGGTTCCCGGCTGGCTTGTCTCCCACTTCCTTTCATTTGTCTCCCAGGCTCGGTGCTTGTGGTCGGGTTCCCGGCCGGCTTGTCTCCCACTTCGACTCATTTGTCTCCCACTTCTTTTCATTTGTCTCCCAGGCTGGGTTCCCGGCCGGTCTCCCGCTTCCTTTAGGCTGGGTGCTTGTGGTCGGGTTCCCGGCTGGCTTGTCTCCCACGTCCTTTTATTTGTTTCCCACTTCTTTTCATTTGTCTCCCAGGCTGGGTGCTTGTTTCCGGCCCGCTTGTCTCCCACTTCCTTGCATTTGTCTCCAACTTTTGCCCCAAACAGTTTACTGTTAGGGGTTCCCAATTCTTTCTTAAGATGTGTCACTGCTGGTGTTTGCACTGGCCATGTAGCATTTCTAATTATTCATGTTTCTCCCAGGTCTGTCACTGCTGGTGTCCGTCCGTTTTCCGCTGGCCATGCAGCATTTCTATTCATGTGTCTCCCAGGTCTGTCACTGTTGGTGTCCGTCGTTTTCCGCCGGCGATGCAACATTTCTATTCATTTGTTTCCCAGCTCTGTCACTGCTGGTGTCCGCCCTTTTCCGCTGGCCATGCAGCATGTCTATTCATTTGTTTCCCGGGTCTGTCACTGGTGCTGCCGCCCTTTTCCGCTGGCCATGTAGCATTTCTATTCATTTGTCTCCCATGTGATTTCTTTCTTTTTGTCTTTCAGGTTTGGTCCCTGCACTGCTGTTTTCTGCCCTGTCCGCTGGAACAGGTTCACCTGTTGCGTGACTGTCTCCGGGATTGCATTCCTGCCGCACTGTGTAACACTCAGCTTTGTTTTCCTTTTCGGGCAAGCGTTGGATGAATGACCGGATTGGATTTCGGCGGCGTGGCAGCCATCTCTCTGTTCAGTTGGGACGGAGGGCATACGTCAGGCACCAAAAATCAATTTCATGTCACATCCTTCGCTCCTCATGCTTTTATTTCTTGTCCTCACGCGGTCAACTCCCCGCTGATTGAGCAGCATGACCAGCATCATGTTCGCACTTGAAGAATAATTCCCCAAAAGGCTTACTGTTAGGGCCTGTAGGGCTTCTCAATTCTTTCTTAAGATGTGTCCGCCCGCTCTATACTGCTGTGTCCGTCTCTGCCTTGCAATCCTTTACATTCGTCTCCCAGCTCTGGGCTGCTGTGGCCGCCTCTGCCTTGCAATCCTTTGTCTCCCAGCTTTGGACGTCGCAAGCTCTAGTTTCGATTTTGAAAAACACAGACTGTTTGGGGGTCTATGGTGGTGTAACTGTATTCTTCCCCAAACAGTTTACTGTTTGGGTTCTCTCTTATGAAAAAAGAGCTGGCCACGATAGCTGTGGCCGTGCCGTGGGCCCTGTGTTCTCCGCCTTGTCCGGCCTTGTCCAGGCCTTGTCTGGGTCTGTGTGTCCGGCTTGGCCACGCCGTAGGCTTTCTTTTCCGCCTTGTCCGGGGCTTGTCGAGGCCTTGTCCGCTGCGCTTCTGTGGGCCCTGCGTTGCCTTGTGTGCCCTGCTTGGCCGCGCTTGCCGTAGGCCTTTCTTCTCCGCCTTGTGAGGGCTTTGTCTACTCCACCGCCTTGTCCGGGTATGTTTTCGTGTGGCTATGAATGCAACAGTGCTGCAGTGTTTCACATTTGATATCATCCTCGGATTTTCTCATGACATAAAGCCCTTCGTTTTTGCACACGTGACCCGAGAATCAGGACTGTTGTTTTTTACACATTTTTACACAAATTACCACCAACGTTAGAATTCAAGGTTTTGACGCCAAACAATGAAACTGTTTGGAGTCTTTGCTGGCATAATTGTTACATTCACACATGACCACCTCCTTGAGTTCACAGCATTGCAATTTTTCGCAGACATCCTCGAGGAATATGGATGTGCACATTACTTGTTTCTTCCGTTGTGCCCTCCAAAAGTTGCAGGCAACCTTCGCCTGAGAACTTTGCTAAAGGAGCAGCGACACAAGCCGATCAGCCACCTGGCACTGCAACTTCACTGGCGCTGCCTTTTTGACCCCTTCAGATACTTAGATTCTGAGCCTTTGGCATGATTCTTGTGCTGTCAGGTATTCCACCTAACATGGCACTGTAACCTGTGAATAAGCACTTGCATCGAACGACCTCATTGCATGGTTGTATTTTTTGACAGTTTTGACACATTTTGACGCCGAGTTCAGCATTTGCTGATATTAAGGTTCGTGGATGCAAGGGTATTCCATGACATTGCTGAGAGATGTGCCATTTAGTGCTATTTATTGGTTGCGGAGCCGCAGTACTTACAGCATTGGACACAAAGGTGTACAAACACTCGACATGATGAGGACACAGCGACCTCAGTCACACGACCGTCCGAAAGCCCAGGTTTGCCTACGAGTTTGTGAAAGAGAAGCTTCCCGAACCGGAGATCGTCTCCAGTACTGGCTTGAGAACTCTTTTACATTCATTCGTGTGCGGCGGCAGTGCAGGAGAGCTACTCTACTGATGACACAACTAGAAAACTCTGTCACTCTTTCAAAGAACACTTATACATGTCAGCACTTTTCAAACGGAATTTCAACTGCCAAGACATTAACAGCCCATGGGGCCAGACTGCACCGATACCAGTACCGATGCCAGCCCAAACCTGCACAAAGACTGTAGCTGTTGCGCTTGCAGGACTAGTGGCTGCGTTTGTGACTTGCCCTGTGGATGTGGTTAAAACTCTGCGGCAAAAGCACGATGCTGAGCAATCGTCTTGCGAATGCCTCAATATTCAAAGATAATGGATGTTATGATTGTGACGTTTCTTTTTCATTTTTGAAGTTAAGAATTGCACCCAGGACTGGACCAACTTCAGGGTCGTACAGAGCTGCATGCTGAGTGCCAAACATGAGCATAAACTGTATCTCAGTATATTTTAGGAGCTGAGATCATTCATTTTATTCCACGGCCAAGCAAACATGCAAGTCTCACCACCAGGATATCTTTCAATACCTGATGGCCAATCCAGTCGCTGGCTTCAGTGGACTCGGACCCAGGCTTCTGCGGATTCCATTGGGTTGCGTGACCTTTTGCTTTGCAGCCTTTTTTCTTTGGTCCAACCCCCCCGAAAGACGAGTGTATCCCTTCACGTCGGAAGAGCTATAGTATGTTTGTGTACAAGTCTACAATATATACTATATACTGTATATAATATATATATATATACTAATACAGCTGTGGGTCCAAAACTAATGACACCCTCTGGAAGGTCAACAGCCCTGGGAAGACTATTCTCGTGATTTCAGGATATTTCATGAGGTTGCGATTTTCACTCTCAGCTCTGTAGGTTTAGAACGTTATGCACGACTGTCCTAGGTACGGCAACAATGATGGCCGGCATGGAGACTTGCAAGTGGGCCTTTGAGTGGCAGAGACGGCGCTGATGAAAGATTTTCAGACGGCTTCAGAGTCGGCGCAATTTGATGCAGCGAAGACTGGACTTCTCGCAGTAAGACTGGACTTGTTGCCCAAGGTAGCAAGATATTCTTCCATGCCACACCACTAGAGCCACGAAAAGGGAGTAAGTTGATTTGATTATCTTTACCTCACTAGAAGTACACTTGTGCTACCTCTTGACAGCTGCATTTTTCGAGCGCTCCTGAGCAGTGTTTTCCGGGCGTATCTGCGCTGGTCCTTGGTCCACAGGGCCCTCCACATCGGGCTTTTGATCGCCTTGGTGTCAACACAGTAAACCCGGCCATGGACCCCAAAGGGGGTGCTTAAGCGGTGGCTGGTGCTTTTGATTCAAAGCTGATGATCGAAAGTCATCAGCAGCATAGGGCCAGGGTCTGCTAGTGCATTCATTGGAATGCGAAGCAAAACGTACTTGGGGCCATTTGCTTGTCATTGCTTAGCAAAAATGACATGCCAAGGACTGTGTTCGAACCGTTTTTGTGCCAAGGACTTGCCTGGTTCTTGACGGTGAGCTCCTGCGAAACTTGCCTCTGGGTGTCGGGATCTCTCAGCGTGTATGGGCGACCGTTTGTTCGAAGTCTATTCCTGATAGAGTGTATTGGACGACATTAGTGCATGCTTTCTTGTGGAAAACAATAAGCCCAAGAAATACCTAAGAGCTGCAATAGCAACATCGCACTTTCACCAACACGTGTAGTGTCTTTGCCAGACAATGCTGCTTTGAAACATGTGAGCCTTTTCATTGCGCCCTGCGAGCATCACGACACGGCAATATGTTGGCATAGCACATATGCCCTCATATGTGGGGGCATGACATCACCGCAACAAGCAACAACCAGGGAACCTGCTCTGGAATCCGCTCTGGAGCCTGCCAGCATATCAGCACGACAGCATGACCCGTGTCAGTGGGCCAGCATGATGTCAGCTTGACAGCCTGACAACATGTCGGCGTGACAATATGCTGGCATAGTCCGGCATATCACATTGGCACATAACCTGCATCGGATGCTCCGCAACCTTCCCCGCAACCTGCTCCAGAACCTGCTCCCAAACCTTCTCTGGAATCTGCTCCCAAACCTGCTCTAGAACCTGCTCCGGAACCTGCTCCTGCTGCGATCTACTCCAAAGTCTTTACTATGGCTGAAGAACCCCGAACTTTTTGTGCTGGGGAAAGAACCTCCAGCACTCGGGCATGGCTTTCTCGCAAGGCCCGCCCCATCCACCACGAATGCTAGGATAGACTCTCAAAGTTGTCGCGCCGGATCTAGCACCAAATTTGGCTTGGTCGTGAACCTGACTTCAGATTAAACAATGCTTTGCACAGAGAGGTGTGGGTGGGGGTTCTGTATATACTGTAAATAGAAAACCTGAGTACCTGGATGACTTCTGCATAGAGTGTGTGTCCATCACTATCACTATATAACGATTCCTTATTCTTCCAGGCCCTGAAATAGTTTTTTCTCAGCGACAGCACAAGGTCACTGGCGAAGAAACCGACTTCGGAGTGCTGGGCGCTCAATGAGTCGAAGAATAGAAATCATAAGATTTGGGAGTTTCTTCTCTTCCTTCCTCCTCATCATAAATCCCCTGAAGAGGCCTGGCACGGAGCAGTCGCTTGTGGAGTACCACAGAAAGTACCTTGGGCACATGGCAGATACTCCTGCTTTTTCTTTTCCAACTTCTTTTTTTATCGTTTTCAACCGGCATTGCTGTCGAGTCAAAGTTTTCAATTTTGCTATGAATAGACACTTGGAACTTGGAGTTGACGTCGCAGGTCCTCTGCAGCAGTTCGACCTCAACGAGAGGAGATCCCTTTTGACGAACTCGAGCCGGGGTCTTACTGGAGACAAAGCCGAGCTTGGTCATTTGACTTTGGTGACAGCGAAGAAAGACCTTGATCTTCAGTTTGCTCATTAACTAGAACTCTTTAGCTTTCTGAATAAGCAAGGCATTCCTTTTCAAGACACCATGGCAACCCGTTGTTTGATCCTTTTGGGAAACAGCCGAACGTCAGGCGAACGCATGTGCTGGGCGAAGGTGGCTTTGGCGCTGTGTATCTTTGCCACAGGAAAAACAAGCCAGGCCAGGCCTGCATGGTGAATTTCGCAGGCAAGGGGAAGTAATTTTAGAAGAAGATGAAGATTAGATCAGAATGTTGTAACAGGACCGGTTTGTGACCCTATTTACCCACCCCTTTTTAGAAGATGAACATGTTGTGCACAAACGTGTCACAGTAGGCAAAAGATGGGCGAAGCAACCTTCAACTCTATAACTTCATTGGGAAGCTTGGTGGTGCTGATGACGAGAGCCTTTAGAATCGGGTCAAACGAACTTCAAAAACACAAGTATAGTCATCTTCAAGTAGATAGAGCATGTGGCAATGCCAGATGAGTCCATTTCCCTATTGGTTGACAACATCCCTGACATTCAAACAAAACATGGGGATGACTATGATCCTCCGGGCGGTTATGCAGCACAAAAGAAGACAACTCAGGCTGTAGACCCCATTTTGTTGCATCTCACTCCGGAGCCAAGTGCCTCACTGTAAAGTCCAATGAGCCGGCCGAAGGCATTGAGTATGCGCTCAAGCGACTTTCGAAAGGCTACATTGTCCAGGTGTGGTGCCAAGAATACAGTGAAGCTTCCTTCCATTATATAACACCCCGTTCCTCTCAGGCCAATGCAGAGAAGCAGGTTTGTGCAGAACGCGATATCCTTTCAATGCCAGCACCTCATTTTTGGCCAGCAGTATTTCACTTGTACTTTTCATAGATATCTTTAAATGTATGCAAATATCATGAATCATGAAATATCCACCTGGCAAGTTTACTTCAAGTTCCTGGTGCTTTGATGTCCCTTTTGAGCAAGTCTGTGGACGGGTCGTTCGCTCCGTCGCAGGATGGATTGTGATTGCATAACTCGTGCGCTGCCTACCACGGTCTCAGGTTGCATTTCAGTCATACAAGGCATTTGCTTCCATTAAGTTGTGCAGTTATTTTGACTGGCCAAGGCTTCTACGGCTCCTACCAGGACACTGAATATGCTGGGTCACCCACTTCACCAAAAGTCCTTGTGACAAGCCTTTGCCTGTTTATTTAGAGTAGACTTAGATCAGCGTGTCGATTGGAGATGGTCTAGCTGCTGCGTCGGACTGATCCCAAGGTCTACATGCTAATAGAGCTGGTGCCTGGTGGACACCTGTACCAGCTGCTTTGCGACAAGCCGCAGGCCATTTGTGGAAGAGCGACCAGTGCCCCAATTTGGAAATCAATGCTGTGACAATCAGTGACATGTTACATGTTCCGCTTGGTCACTGGTTTTTGAGTCAAAGCTCTCATGATATAGTAGGTTCCTTGCTAAGTGCACAATTATTGATTCAAAGCGCTTTAGAGCATTTGTAGCACCGCAACCCTGTCAGGTCTTGCTTTCTGACAAGCCTCGAGGTGCGGTGGCCAGCTTCGACAGTTTTGCGTTTTCGAACAAGTCAAGACTCATGTGTTCACGAGTATTATATAATGCCTGATGGTTTCAGCTAGCTGACCTTGGATAACAAAATCAGACCTTTCTGCCGTGACAACCACTGGTGTTTGCACTGTCGGCAAGGCTATGCGGCCATGTTTTACAGTAGCTGTGTCATTTTGGTCCACGACTTACAACAAGCAGGGCTACTTTGGTTCTCCAAAGCGCATACTTGAAGCATATGCATGAGTACATCGCTCGCATCGCTCGCATCAGTGAGGCCTTTGAATATTTGCACGAGCGGCGCATCGCCTACAGGGACTTGAAGCTTGAGAATGTCCAGGGCCCAGCAGGGCCGAATGGCAGTGGTAAAGAGGAAAGGCTGAACCTGACTGACTGATCCAAGGTGCTTTTGGACAGCACTGGCTATGCCAAGCTTTGTGATATGGGCTTTGCACGCTTTGTTTTGAGTCTGGTGCTCGAAGAATTGATTGGAGAGAAAGCCTATTCTTTCCCGGCTGACGATTTGTTTTCTTAGCGATGGGTTGGTGATAACTTTAATGTTGCATGGCAATGGAAAACAGATAATGATACAGTTATGTATTCGTTTGGTCTTCTTCGAAGTGGTGTCCACAGGCAAAACCCACACTCTCCTGGGAACTCCAGAATATATGGCTCCCGAGATGATAGTGTGGACCTCAGACAACTCAGTGAAGAAAAAAGAACGTGAGAGTGAGGTCCCCTTTAATAAGGCCTCCTTTAGGGGGTTCTTTACTTTCCTTTTTCTCTCAATCTAAGTAGCCGCTGGTCCATGCACAATGCCAGTTTCTGGGTGATGACTTACCTGCGATTTGGTCCATGCAGTTGAATGTAGTGGCGAAGCAAACATGCCTAATAGTAGCCTAATAGCAATGGTCTCCAACCTAATAGCGATGACCCCCAACCTAACTGCAAGCACTGTGGATGGCAGACATGATCAGACATGCGTATTGTACAAAGGATCCTCCACATGGTCACAACCACATGGCTGGGAGTCTCAGTGATTCTGTGAAATGCAGAGACCACACCGTCGGTGTCGCATGTGATGGGTGCGGCGTGCCCGGCGTGCGGCTCTAGGTGGACTGGTGGGCTCTTGGGGCCACAACCTCAGTCCGTCGTGAAGGAAAATCCCCAAACAGAAAACTCAGAGATCAGATGAATCACGATGGACAAGGATGAACAACAATGAAACATCTTATATGTTTAAGTTTATTATATACCTTTCTTGAAATTGACGGGTGGCGGAGAAGGTAAGGTAGGCTACAGGAAGCTATCGGCAGGATGCTGCAGAGAAACTTAACTCTATTCTCTCATTGACGGGTCTCAGACGGGTCAGATGGTGAGAGCGCATGGAAGGTCTTGGTTTTCGAGATGCTCAGTGGGCAGGCTGGAAGCATATGTTTGACAGCGCAAGCATTCGTCAATTAGTCGCATCAAGTCAACATGCAAGGCTCCCTGGGACAACATGGGCTACGATGACAACCCCATGGGGTGTGCCTGGCGCGTTCGTGAGAAGATGTGAGAAGGCACTGGGCCGCACACCAGCCAGGCAGCTACTAGCACTGCGAGAAAGCCTGTGCCCCACCAAAGCCGGCATTGATTGGCCTAGGATGCTGACAAACAGAAACATAAGTTCAGCAAATAAAAGGAATTGTTGACATCATTTTGGTCAGTCGGCATGCAATTGCTGATTAGGAAAAGATATGAACAGATGGATGATGTCCATTGCCTACCTGTCCAAGGCCAAAATCAGGGCTTGCCAGACGGCTTCCTGTGGCAAACTTGATGTTTTCGCTGTAAATGTGAGTTCACAGAAGTTCACAGGATGTCACAGGATTGTTATGTTGCGCCCCAAGTCTAGGAACCAAATCAATCATGTAAGCTGTCCTTTTACCGGGCTACCCCCCCAACAAAGATCCTCCTATGCTGATTTCTTCGCAAATCAGCACAGAAGCATGACCTGACTGAGGCCTCCCTCGCTGATCCTTGCGAGGGACTTTATCAAGAAGCCGCACTGCCCTGTGCGACATACCGAAGCTCCAACTAACATACCGAAGCTGCCCTGTGAATGCAAGTTTCATTGATCTCTATAAGTTCTGATGTCGTTCTGTTGCCAGTTGCCAGGCTCGTCGTTGTCAAGCCCGAGAGAAGACTAGGTGCACATGGAGTGGAGGAGGCGAGGCACATCTTGCATGCGTTTTGGTTTGAACGATCTTTTACTCGGAAAAAGGTGAAGAATAGTGGCTGGTTCAAATCTGGCACCTTCTCCTGGGAGCGCTTGGTGGCAAGATACCCAGCAGCAGTTTTGGTACAAGTAGGATTTTTCTGAGCTTTCACAAGAAGTGAGGCCCGGCAAATGTCACCTCCATACCAGCCTCCAGCTGCGTGACTCTGTCTGATTTGAGTTACTTCAATCATATGCATCAGCATCGTGAAAAACACTCAGAACTGAAAGGCCGGACACTTGAGATCCCGTTTTGCCAGGACATATTCAGAAGAACCGGTGCCCAAGCCTGCGCAGGCTGACATAAACTATATACTCGTAGTACGTTTGAACTACAGTAAACCAGGAAATGTGTGGTTGGGTGAGCTGGTTCTAGACTGGGGTAGCTGTACAATGTGTACTATGAACAATTGGATCAATCAAGTGAGAACAATTTAGGAACTCCTTTTGGTCACGAGGCTTTGAGGTAAGGAAACAGGAAAAAGTGCTAAGTTGTCCAGTAGGTTTGTCTAGATGATCGAAGAATCGATACCCTCAGTTGTTCGTCCTCATTTCATGGTGAGGCACTATTTGAAGGATTTTCTATTGTGTTTGATTGAAGCATATCACAGCAAGGTATCCAATATTGAACCTGTCCTTCTAAATACCTTCACGCATGGTATGGCCAGATTCTTTCTCTCAGGCCTCGCGAGAAAGCATGTGCGAGACTCAGTGGGAACGCAGACGCTGATTGGGTCTTTTTTACCCTGGCACCCAGGTCTGAGGGAAGGAACAAGCTCTTTGTCAAAAGCAGTGCGCAGGCGGGCCTGTGCCCTCTTCACAGCATGGTCAGCTCCTGGAACCTTTTTGACCCCTGATGAGGATGACTGGGCTGCGGATTTTTGATGTTCTGACCTGCCAGCCTGCCGTACTGTCTCACCCTGTTCTTAGACCAGTGTTTTCAACCTGGCCACAGAACCGCCCCTCACCTGGACGTAGAACCAGGTTCTAGAGTATGCTAGACCTTGACACTTCCAGTTCAGCAGACAGGTGGACTCTGGTCGGAAAGTGAAACCACGTGTCCAGTTTATCGATTCCGTTTCACGGGCAGCCGCCCGTTACTCAAGCCACAGCCCCACGGGGCTCGGTGTTGATGCCGTATTTTTAGTAAAAGGCGGTCGCGGCTGGCTTCCCGAAGTTTCCAAACTTGTTCAAGCGCAAGTAGTGTAATACAACTGAGTCTCCTCATCACTTCTAGAATTGAGTCAAGTCAGAATCCTCTATGCTGGATGGTGACGTGCAACCGGAGGATAGGCAAGGAGACTGCGAAGGGGCAGTCCAATTACTTGGCCTCCAAACTGTATACTTCCAGCTGAAGACTGATTCTCCTGTGAGACACTGAAAGCCGAAGGCCGCTCTAGTCGCTCTGCTCCTCCTTTACAGCCTCCTTTCGCCTTTGGGTCCGGAGGCAGCAGGTATGCAGCGATTGAATGAACCATGTCCTGATAGGGATCAAGGTTGATCCAGGTGATGATCAACGTCATTCCAAGTCGAAATGAAGTAAATAAAATGTGTCTTTCATGTCTTCTTCTTCTTCTTTTCCTTCTTCTTCTTCTTCTTTAGTTGTTTTTTCTCCCAGACACCCAACCACCCTTGCTTTTTAGAGTCAACCCAGGATCGGCCTAAGCTCACATCGATTTTTATGATTATCAGCGGTGAGAGCGGCAGCTAAGACATAACAGAATGAGCACGCATGCATTGAGACGGTCAAAAGCATTCAATCGACCCATCCCCAGAAGCTACGAATCCGTTCCGCATTCGCAAGGCAACCATCAGGCGCGCATTCCTGGCAGACCTTTGATTGAACTCGTCAAATTCTTCTGCTGTTGGAACATCGCTCTGCTTTCCAACCACATGTAAGTACTGTAGATAACTGTCCTTTCGTTGACACACACACACACAAGGAGGAGGACTATGGCCAGCAAGAGAGCAGGCACAGCGTTGCATGATATGTGACATGCATGAGGGCAGAATCTTGCAAGAGAAAAACACTATATATAAATGCTTACAATGTGATTCTTGGATAGTTCCTGAAGCGGCGTGCATTGGCGCCGTTTTGTTTCGTCTTGTTTCCCAATGAATTTGACTCCTCTTTTCTCTCTATATGTTTTTTTTCGATTTTCTCATTCCTTCTCCCACTGCCTCCCATTCCCTGGCTCCTTCCACTCCTTTCCGCCACAGGCTGGGTTGCATCAACGTCATGCCAGCTGGTCCGACTGCTGACCAGGCGGCAGTTACAGTAGCAATTCCACGGGACAGGTGACCTTGACGTCGATGTTACTGCCTAGTTCTGTGAGCAAGCTGCTTTTTGCATTTTCTTGCAGGTCGATCCTTGTCCTTGCGATGTCCTCGCTCCCAGTAGCTGCACATGCAGATCCCAGAATTCTTCCTACCAAGCTGCAGGACACACACACAAACACACATGAACACCTCACGAGAAAATGCTTGAACTTGCTTGAACAAGTACAGTAATTCAAGGGACAGGCAGGCTGCTAGATTCGTGCGAACGTTGGGTTCCCGCATATCAAATTACACATCACCATCATTGTATAGAGTTTCCGCCAGACTCGCGATAGGCTGCAAAATCAGAAAGAAGACGATACAGTGTGATAAGCATTCCGTGCAACATCGACAGGCATCGCTACTAGGAACAAGGTTCGCTACTAGGAGCAAAGGGCATCGCTACTAGGAGCAAGGACGCTACTAGGGGCTCCCTGGCCTTACTACTAGGAACAATGTTTGCTATTAGACACAAGAATTCAATAGAATTAGAATCTAATTAGAATCAACATCGATTTAAATTCAGATGGGGTGGAACAGCTTCGGATCCTTGCGAATCATTTGACCAAGGCTCCTGTCGTGGGCACATATGTCGAAGTGTTTCGGGCTCTCTTTTTGCAGCCGCTAGAGGTTGGCAGTTTCATTTCTGCTCGTTGCATCATGCATCTCTCTGATTCGACGTGTTTTGGAGGCTTGCAGAGGAAAGAGCAAGCTTGGACCTGACCTTGAAGTGCGCCGCTTTGAATCGGACACGCTTTGAACCTTGGTGTTTTCCATGCAAGACGAGTTTTCCACCAAGGAAGAGCTCAAACAGGGTGTCTAATGATCTTACAATCTCATAAAGCCCCACATGAAGGGCATTGAAGTTGGCACTATCAAGTTTGCAGATGCATTTGCATGTTGGAATCAGTTGATATGCCCTGAATCCAGACTGTAGGTGACGGAGGACGGCATGACGACCTATGAGTGGAAGTCTGTGGTGGAAAGGGACAGGCAGGCATCGCATCATTGTTTTCCTTTGGTTGTGCAACAATTTCTCATTGATCACTCAATGAGCTTTCCGTTTGCGTTTGCCAAAAGATTAAAACAGCAGTTGCGACTGCAAGTATTTTGTCATTCAATCAAACCATGTTAAATGTTTTCATGTGAATCGCGTTATTCACGCGTAAAACTGTGCTTGCCAATTTGCACGCTGTTGTTGCTCGAGCTTCTAACAAAGGTTGACAGGTTTCACTGGTTGTCAGCAAACTGTTTAGTTTGCTTGCTCTTGCGTATACTTGAATGGCGACTCGAATGGAAGGAAGCATTTTGCGAGACATGAAAGCCAGGTTGTTCTACAGTGCAGCATGCAGAATTACTTGCTTCTGGGACAAAAAAAGCACAAACTGCACCCTCTAGGGAATTGTTCATCTAATTGACATGATTCCGGTCGTGCGGCAGAAGACTGCTGCTGCAATCCGCAAAGCTTGCAGCCAGAAGCCATTGGACTTCACCAGCAACTTCGATTCGCTTCGCCAACATAGATGTACGCAGACTGCTTCTTGCTTTGCCAGCGATGAGTTTGGTTTGGTGGCCTATTCAAGCGCGTTGATTCGAAACAGGGAGAAGGCAGGGACCTAGACGCAGGAAACCTGTTTTGTGTTTTTCTTCTCCGATTTCTTGCTTTCTTTTCTTGTGATACTCCTACACGACCCCTTCCAACAAGAAGGCTTCTATCAACAACTCAGGATGGTGCAGCAGACTTCAATGTTTGGATGAAGATCTCTGATCGAGGTACTGAGTTGCTGGATCGTGGATCTCCTCGGGTGTTGGTCTGGCTCCTCGATGCTTTAAGTGATGCAGATCTTCATCCCGATGAGCGGAAACAGTTGACGTTCCCAAGAGCTTATCGTGACACGCTGAACGTCAAGTCGTCATCGGAGGCGCTCTCCGAGTTCAGCAATGATGAGTTGTGTATCGCATGGCGCGCTTTTGATCGTCTTCAGCTTCTGGACAGGCCGACACTGAAGCAATTTCTTCATGCAACCACTAAACCGTTGCTGACACAACGCTGTCATGGTCCCATGTATGGCGAGGTGCGACCACGTTACAGCTCATTTACTCTATGGAATTGGGTGATCCAGGCGGAGGGACTTCGCAATCTGAAGCACCAGCCACTGCAAGCATCTCCGGTCATTGCGAAGTCCATGGCAAAGCGGCTGCTCGTGGAAGAAGAGCACCAACTTCGCGCAGAAGGTCCGTAACCAATTGAATCAAGACTGTAATGGCATGTAAGGGACTTTGTTTCCAGATCAGGTATTTTGCTGACCAATCAAATTCTTTGTTTGTTATATATATATAAAGACTTCACAGACTTATTGACACTTCGTATCTGTCCTGTGCCACAAAGTCCCAGGGTGCCAGGAAACTCAAAGTGTCAAGGAATTTTCCTAGCAGTGTAAGAATTTGCAGCAGTATATTTGTATGATTACAAAAAACATCAAGAAACTGTAACTGTATGTTGTATAGGTACAAAAAAAAATCTACGGCCCGACATTATTCAAAACTTGCTTCATTTCAGACACCTGCTCTTCAGACTTTCGACAGTTGAATGTCCTTTCAGGCTTAAGCGGCTTAAGTAACATCAGGCCTAAGAAACACCACCTGTTTCATGAACCAACTCAGTTGTTCAAGCGGGATTTCGAGACCGATCCACCTCTGAAACCCGAAAGGCTTAACCTTTTCTGCGCTGCAAGCACTGGTGAACATGGTGCCGCCACTCGATGCACAAAAGGAAGTTGTCAACGAATAGATACAACAGGCAGACCAAGAGCACAGCTTGGAAAAAACGAGGGCACTTGACAAATCGACACTGTTGCAAAGACTAAGAACAATAACAGGAAGAGAAGCAGTGGGGAGTAGCGGCAACAACTTTAAACCTGGCTCCAATGTAGGGAGCATTATGACAACCATTCCTTTTTTTGCAAGCCAATCAAGGACAGTCTCACCAACTAGACGACGGTTGGCCCGAGAGCGATACAGATGATTGTTCAGCACTGTCGAGTTATGAAACAATAAAAATCGTTGTCCAAGAGCGATGACTTCTTTATACAATCTGTTATTGAGTAAGAAGTTGCGAAGAAATTTAACTTAAAATATAAAGAGAAGATATATAGAAGGAGGGAAAGAGAGGGCGGACGTGAAGGAGTGACAGTGTTGGATTTGCAGGTGCGATATAGATGTACAGATGTGTGGAGGTGGAGAGGTAGATCTGCAGATGTGAGCGTGTCAAGATGTAAATCTACGCAGGTGAGAGAAAGGACATGTAGAAAGAAAGAAAGAAAGAAAGAAAGAGAGGGCGGATGTGAAGGAGTGACAGTGTGGATGTACAGATGATATAGATAGATGTGCAGATGTGTGGGTGTGTGGAGGTAGAGAGGTAGATCTGCGGATGTGAGCGTGTGACGATGTAAGTGTACAGAGCACACTAGAAGCAATCCTATCACACGATACCGCCAATCATCCCGCTCACCAGCGACACGCCGCGTTTACGCCAGCGTGTTTCGCGCTCCCCAGTGGCACGGCGCCACGCAAACGCACTTTCCACCAAGGCCGCGCAAATCCGCATGGCACAGCGACATCACGAACGTAATTCGCCACACGGTCTGCCCACACACTAGAAGCAATCATATCACACTAGAAGCAAACACTTCTGAGTCCAGCTCCACAACGCTGTTTCCCGCACTACATTTGTACTACAAACTGCCCTCTTCTGAGTCCAGCTCTGAAAGGCTCCTTCCCGCACTACATTTGTACTGCAAACTGGCCACTGCTGAGTCCAGCTCCGAAAAGCTCTTTCCCGCACTACATTTGTACTACATACAAACTGGCCACTTCTGAGTCCAGCTCCGAAAAGCTCTCTCCCATACTACATTTGTACTACAAACTGGCCACTTCTGAGTCCAGCTCCGAAAAGCTCTCTCCC